CTGTGATTTTTCACGAACCGTTGTGACTTCCGTAAAAAGTTGACGTCAGAACTACACAGTCACCGCCTTCGGTCACCACCCCGAGCACCGCCCACCCTCCCACTCTCCTTTTGCCAAAGCCTCAGACAACATCGCGTACATGCCATTGCTGAGCAACGACAACACGGAAACATGTCGAAAAGGTTAACTTTAACCACAAAACCAATCTGGCTCATCTGCATGTCTTTTAGCATCACTGTCTTAGCACATTTAACCAGCATTTGAAAATGCTACAAAACTTTCCCCAAGCTCCTAGGGATTTGATTTTGTTTGTCATTTGTTGAAATAAATATAAAAAGTACAGTGAGTTCGTGACTGTTCGCTGAATGTGACCCACAATCTCTGATTCTCCTCCGTGGCCATGGAAAAATGAATATTTATAATGACATCAATTATACTTTGTCATTTAAAAGTTTCCGACAAAGAAATGGATCGACTTCTGTCAGCTTCTTGAACACACACTTTTATTTGGATAATGTACCATATGATGGCTGAAGCAGAAGAGAGTGTCCAGCGGGCGAGGTTTACAGAAGATGTGTACTAGCGCCCCCTACAGTATTACAATGAAAACACGGATTCTAGGAGCACAATTATAGCTCAAATGTATTTAGACTTTTTCTAAGTATAAGTCAAGTATACTTAAATGTCATTTTAAGTATATTTCTGAGAAGTACATAAAGCCCATTTCTGAGAAGTACATAAAAAGTAGACTAAAAGTATACTTTCCTATTTTTAGTTTAGAAGAAGTATACTAATAGCACACTTGAATAAACTTCTTTTTCGTAAGGGACAACATAACACTTCTAAATTAAATAAGTAACCACTCCAACTCATTCATAAGTGTTTTAGATTCACTAGAAGAATCAGCTCCGAAGATGCATTCGTTCGGGAATCTTCACGCAATTTTTAGTTTGAGATGCATTTCTTTTATTCACTAAAAATTCGCTTTTGATTGGTGATGTATGCTTTTGATTAAATAAAAATAACCGATTTGTGTAAGTCAATCATTTGAGATTAGGACTACCGGTATGATTTGATCCACTAAAAAGAACCGGCACATAAGACTCACTCATTTGGAAACCTGATTACACTGGGCTGCGTTCAGCCCCGACAAAAACGGTGCAAAACGTTTTTTAAACGGAAACGGTGGTGTGTTGAACACACTGTTCTGATGACGCAAGAGTTGCAACTATGGCAGCTGAGAAGGCCATTCTTTGTGTTCTTTTTGAAGAATTTTCGGAGCCTGATGAAATCGGTATAAATACGTGTTTAATACTGTAGATCCGACGCAGAAGTATAAATCAGCCTTAAAGTGGTCTTGCATTAGTCAACGTGGGCAACGTCATCGCCATCCTTATATGGAAGAGAAATCACTGATGAATTATTGCTCAGAAGAATTAGTTTCAACGATAACCCAAGCAAACAGTGTATTTACGCATCAAATCTACACTTTTCAAAGTTATTTAAATGCGTATCCCCCGCAATAAAACTTCTTCACGGATGCGCGCAACTGGTTGATAAAGACAACAACTTTTTAATTAATTTAAGTGGGTACAGTATATAAAAAATATGAAAAAAATATGGTTTCAGTACTATATATAAAAACAATAAAGGCATAATCCGAAAAACCAAGCCTTGTGCATTATAGGGAATAATATTCTGAGTATTTTACAGTTGGTTTGATACATAGCCAATGGAATAGCCAATATGGCTCAATGATCACTGTATTCAGCAGACCCCTGCAGAGAAAAAAACAGCTTAAAACAGCCTAAGCTGGTTTGCTGATTTGAAATGGTCTCTCAGCCTAGTCAGGCTCGTTTTAGACGGTTGGTTTATGACTGATGTAGGAAAGCCGAAGCCCATTTCCACCACATAAGGATCCTTCTTTAAAGAAAAGAAGAAGAAGAAAACATTTGTGGCATAAATTACAAGATAGTAAGTCACAACTATGAGTCACAGCTAAAAACGTCTAAATTGTGACATTAAAAAGTAAAAAATTATGAGATAAAAGTCTTAATTACAGTAAAATCTCAAACTTATGAGATACAATTTTGACTTTTTAATTTCATAGTTATGACTTAGTAAGTCATAATGTTGACTTTTATGTCATAATTATGATTTACCCACTTGATATTTTTTTTTCTTATGTGGCAGGAATGGGCTTCCAAATAGACTAATAATAATTTAATATTCAGACTAATATGACTGTTCTTGAATTCTGGGAAAAACTCTATTTTTTAAAAACATTTTACCTTTAAAAGTAATACTTTGTTACAAACCTTAATTCATATACATTTTTAGTATATTTTTACTTAACATAGCCTATATAATATATAATATGTGACCCTGAAATAATATAGGCTAATAGTTTCACCTGCACTTTTGAATTCTGTTGTTTCCACAATTCTGCATAAAGCATTTTTTTTTTTTTCAGCAGGCACATAACAGCATTGTGATCCAAGATGTAATGCTGGCAGAGCGGCTGTGGGCCTGGGAAGAAAAAGCCCCACAATGAAACAATGGATCTCTTAACAGAGCATGTGCAGTGTGGTTTCTGTGACTTTATCATTACTCAGTCACAAGGAAATGTTATATCCATTCAGATTTTAAGCACAGCAATACCATCAAAACCAGCACACACACAATAGGCCTCCTGCAACTTTGTACATCCAAGCCATAAAAGAGATTGTGTAGAGCCAACCAGTCTTGTAATTCAAACTGTGGGAGTTAAAGCTTTGGCCAGCTGCCTGCAGTTCTTTGCCTAAAGAAACATACAATAGTGTAATATATACTTTTGGCTCCACGGTGCCATATGCTCTGCCACGTAAGCTTTGGGAGTACAAAACTAGCCACAGAACTGAATCAAGGATTTAGAGTGCTCAAAAGTTAATGCACATAACAGAACGCCTGTGGAGGGTGGTGTGCCATGAAATATCTTCTTGCTTCCCCACATCAAAAAGACTCTTTTCATCATAATGCACTTTTATACTATATTATATGCAGGTAAAACCATTATTATATTATATTATATAATATTATAAAAAATATTTTTTTTGTCTTGACTTATATCAAGTACTTGAGAAGCAAGCAGAATTACTTGAAGAGTTCAGATGCAAAAGCCTCTAAGTGCCATATGAAATTTTCATCTAAAATGAGCATTTTTTATCAGGCTGCTATATGTTTAGGTTCAGTTATTTTAGTCTAATGGCAATGTATAGGTCATTTTCTATGCAATTAAAGTGAAAAAAAACTGAACATAAATATAGGGGCCTGAGAAAAATGCTCATTTTAGAAGAAAATTTCAGATGGCATTTAGAGGCTTTTGCATCTGAACTGTTCACTTACAATACTTAAGATTTTTTTCTAAAAACTTTTTTTTGTTGCTTTTTTTATATTATTACGTTATGTAAGTATGTCTGCCTTTTCACTGGACTCACTGAAAACTTTGAGCGATATCCCATCTTCTAGGGTCATGCCAGATATACACCAGATACCTTAGCCCGATGAAGCTATGATAAATATTGCATTTGCAGACAGATGAGAAATTATTTATTTTTGACCCTGAGTTGTGTCTTTCGTAAACTCATTTTTGGATGGCTTATTTAATGGAAGAGCTTGTAGAGGTCTGGTGAAATAGATCTGAAATTAGAAAAGTAAATCTTCCCAACAGGTAATTTGGCTATCGGGCTGTCAGATGTGAGCTAGGATATAATCTTCTGCCCCCGACTCTCTGGTGCACCTCAGCTCAGTCTTAAAAGGCAGGTGGCTTTGCTCAATGATCAGAGAGGGCTTTAATCATGACTCAGTGAGGACCCCTTGTTGACCTGTAA